CGCGCTTGGGACGGACCTGCGCGCGCGGCCCGCTGGCTGGCTGGGCTGCAACCTCCACGGTCCTGGAAACTTTCAAAAAGAAAGACTTTGGGCACTTCTCTGTTAGAGCACCACCCCCGCCGCCCCGGGCAAAACCTCCTGTTCCTCAGCAGAACCCTGGCCGCGGTTGACCCCGGAAGCCAAGGCAGAAGGAACCCCCAGTTGAAACCAAATGCTTGCTTTTCACAGAACCGGAACGGTACTTGAGCGTTTTCCAAAGTAATTCACTGGGAACATTTGTGCGTTTGTTTATTCATGGAGCAAACCCTTACCGGCCAAGGTCCCCTGGGCTGGGCGCGGTTCAAGGAGCTAGGGATCCTGGGTAGTAAGAAGTGAGGTGGGCTTCGGGGCTGCGGCGGGGGGCACCTAGGAAATGTGGCCACGCTGCGTTTGCAGTGAAAATGCGCCATCGCAGTCTGCACAACGGAGGAAGGAAGGGGAGGGAGGAGCATTCAGCCATTCAGCCGGGAACAGGGTGGGCACCCTAGAGGAAGTGTGGCCGCCTAGCCCTGGGTCCACCCCCCACCTCCCCACCCCCTGCTCTGCGAAAGTAAGAGAAGTGTGGTCAGGTGCTATAGAAACAGAGGCTAAGCCTGCTAATTCTCCAAGGCAGCTGAATCTGAAATAAACCTGAATTCCACCTACCTGAACTTCCCGTTTTTAAATTGAAGGAAATGCAAGAATAGCAGGAAGGATAGTTGAAGTTTTCAAAAGTCTGGAAGATACCCTAAGCAAAATGTGAGGCTGTTCATTAATTTGCCCATTCATTCACTCATCCATCCGCCATTCCTGGGCTATCAGGGTCTGTGGAGTCTTAGCATCCCCAAACATTTTCAGTTTCCATAGAAACAAAGGCCCATTTCTCGCCCCACTAAGCATAGGGGCCCACCGACAAGTGACTTGTGTAAGAAATGTAACTTGAGCTTGTTTCCTTTCTTGTAATGCCACCTACCTCTCAGAAATCCCGGGGGATGGGTAATGTGTAGAAGAGCCTGGCACATCTGAAGACTTCGCCTGGATCCCTCATTTCCAGAATCTGTTACCCGTGCCCGGGTCTTTACAGTTTACAGCGTTCCTTCACTTGCTGTGTTGCATTTGATTTTCACATCAATCCCAGGTCAGCAGTCATTTTAGAGAAGAAGTTACAGCAAAGTACCAAGTTCACACAGCACCTCAGAAGTTGGAACTGAGATGAAAATCCAGAGCTTGTAAATAAGCTTTAAGGATGAAAATGGTACTTTTTGGCAGCACTTAATGATGAGTACTTTGGTACTGCCAAAGTCATTAGTCAGGTCTGGGATCTGGGAGATACCAGGATCAAACACTAAATCGCTGCCACCTATTTGGGACATGCTAGTAACCCAAGGAATGTTCTAGAAGGAATACCCAGTAAGACAGATGGGCTTTGCCAAAGACGGCCACAACAGTACTTCCGGTTCCACATGTTCTTCTATAAGGATGTAGAATCTAATTCAATCCCCACTCCTCACCTTGACGCTGGCATGGGCTTAGTGACTCTCCTGACCCATAGAATGAAGCATTCCTGTAATCTGGGATTTCTGGGGCTGGGTCATAAGAAGCTTCGCGGTGTCCACTGGAGTCTCTTGGGCAGTCACAAGACTGCAGGGGACAGTAATGCCAATAGTAACTGAAGCTGCAGTCTAGTTGTCATGTTAGACAATGATGGAGAGCTAGAATACTTGGGTGACTTTCAGGGCTCCTGTTAACAAGAACTAAAGATAAGAAATAATCCAAGCCCCTCTTTAGGGCTATCAGAGCTCTCAGAGCTCTCAGAGCTCCCCTAGGATCACTACCAGAATTCCTGACCCCAAACAATTCGTTTACTGTCTCTGCCACTAGACTGTGAGCTCTTGGAGGTAAGAGAACATACTAAGGTCCTGGGGTTGCCAGCAACAGAAACAAACACCACTTTTCTTAAGCAAAACAGAATTGATTACATTTGGAGAGCTCAAAGAATTAGGATTAAAAAGCAAAGTCTAGATTCAGGATGGAGTGCAGGAGCCCTGGGGATCTAGTGGCAGGATCGTACAGTGTATCTTCAGTCCTGGGCCACGAATAAGCAACAACCCTCTGTCATTTTTGTGTCACTGCTCAGTGTTCAAAATCCAGGGGGAAAAGTCTTGACTGGCCACACTGGGCCTCAGAAAGGTAGACCCATGTAGAATCCAATTGTATTCACTGGGTGGGACTGTCCCCTAAACAAAATTAGGGTGCAGATGCCAGAAGAATGGGGTGCCAACACTAAGCCAGCAAAGTGGTGCCATCACATTGGCCTTAGCAAGCCTTGTAGGTGGTTCAGTGTCTGGGCCAAGAAATATCCCTTTGATGAGTGAACCGGCAACTGAACGAACATGTACAGAAATGAATGACTGAGCAATGGAGAAGTGAAGGGCCACACAGTGCATGGGCCCTGGGCCAGCCCCTGAGACACCTACCAGACAGGAGAGCAACTTAATGCTCCTCCCCGCAGCTAGGAAGCCTTCCTCTCTAGAGAGTTTCCAAACCTTGATTCTAAAAGGTGCAGAATTTAATCCTCTAATCCTGCCACTTTAGAAGCATTATATGCTTTGAGCAGTCTGAGACAATACTTAAAACAGCCCTTAAAGCAAGTGACTCCTCAGTGCCACTTGGCCTCACAGGAAGTTTTCTGGGGAGGGAAGGAGAGAGAGAGAAGACAAATGCAAGGCAGAATGGGGAGGGCTGGTGCTCTCCATTTGCAGAGGGGAACAGCACAGCTGGGTGGCTAGAGTGGCTGCAGGCCACATTTCACCCAAGGCAGGTAAGTCATCCACATGCCTGCTCAGGAGCTGGAGATCTGGACATCAGACCACGTATCCTCACCCGCTACACAGACTCACTGAGAGCATGCTAGACCTCAAAACACCTCAGCTTCATTCTTTGTTGTCATCTCTGGCTTCACCCTAGGTGTGCACAAGTACTGGATACAGGTTTGCAACACTGAATTGAATCTCCATGCTTTCCTACTCTATTAGAATACACACAAATTAAAGAAAAATTACAAAGCAAGTTGGCTTAAATGCAGCGAATGTTTTCATTTTTAAAATTTTATTACAGCAAAAGACACCCTGACATGAATCCCTGTCAAAACATACTCCTCCTCCCTTCAGACAAATTGATCCCATCTTTCTTGCCACTTTCTAGAGCAGTTCTGGAAGTCTTCTTTCCTGAGTGTCTTTAGTCACACTGTCAGGGCTGTCTCAGTGTCCAAAACAGATTAAAAATGTTTACCTTTCATGTTCATTTTGACTTTGGGGAAGAGCCAGAAGTTGTATCATGCTCAATGTGCTGAATAAGATGGCTGAGGACACTGGTTCTTTATGAGCCTGCCTCCCATTGGATGTCACTTGGTGGTAGCATTCATCATGTGTGTTTTTTTTCCACACCCAGTAAAGACACTCACAAAAGATAACTTTCAGATCTCAGAAAGTGGCAAGAATGATGAGGTAAGTCTGTTTGAACCAAGGGGATATATTTTCAAGGAGGTTAATGACAATGTGTCCTTCACTGTAATAAAAGTTTTTATTTAAATATTCACCACATATTTTGATTACCCTTGTCTCTATTAATATCTTGAAGCATCCCAATTTAATGATGTGGGATCAATTATCTGCTGATGACAGCTTCCAGAACAGGAGGGAAGGGGGAAGGGGACAGAAGATCATTTACACTGAGTGACTACTCTGTGTCAGGAATTGGAAAGCACCATCCATTTATTATGTCCTTCAATGCCTACAGTTATCTAGACAGTCCTATCAAGCCTGCTTCACAGGTGAGGAAACTGAGTCTAGAGAGGCAAGGTGCATTTTCCAAAGTCATGATCCTATGGAATGGCAGAGGCAGGATTTGAACCAAAGTCAAGTTAGACTCTGGATATTTCCATTTTATTACATCACACTGTCTTCCAGGTAATAAGCTAAAGAGGCTTTTGGACAGTGTTACAGAAGGAATTGGTAAATGACACATACAGAGAAGCAGACTGGAAGTAAAATAATAAAAAGTGTATTTTGTCAACAAAAGGTTGATCACACTAAGAGCAGTGCTAAAGATCAACCTTGTACTGGGTTGCAGCTTCTTCTTTTATGGGTTTTACAGCTATGATCTCATTCATGTGGTTATATTTCATTTCCTCAGTTCACATTACCCATGTACAAATTACAGTAACAAGACAGTTAACTTTAACCCAGATGCAACAATTCCTTGTAGTTAGGGAGTTTACCTCAAGATTCATCTAGCTATCTATTCTAGTGCACAGAAAGGGAGTGTTCAAGGTCAGGAATGAGGACAGGTGTCCTATTTCATGGTCAATGCCTCCAGTGTCTGTTAATTTTGAACTAAACAAAGCAGATTACTGTTAGAGACAGCAGAAGTCATTTTAATTTTCCTAATGTTTTATAGGTTTTTAGATTATTTACAAAAGTTCTCTATCAACAGAAATTCACACATCTTGTTCATCAGTCTGATGAAGATATTTATCCTAGCTTTTACAGGATTCCCACAGGTGTGATTGTGTGGCTGCCTGGCTCATAGACAAGTAGAAAGCAGCAAAGAAGTAGGAGGAAGGGCTGCAGGCAGAGGCACAAAGGTAGTATGATGTGTAGCTGTGGATCTAAGACAGTTTCCAGTTACAGCACATGGTGGGTGTCGTGAATCAGGCTAACCCTCCTGACAATAACAGAAACTCTGGATATCATATTAGAAAAACAATGCTGGGGATTTAGCTCAGCGGTTTGGTGGCCTGCCTTGCAAGCACAAGGACCGGAGTTCAATCCCTGGTACAAAAAAAAAAAAAAAAAAAAAAAAAA